AAGTTTTGGACCATATTGACAAGGCCAAACCCCATGGAACCACCTAAATGAGCTATGGAGCAAGGGATCCCCAAATTAAGGGATTTCATTCCATATTTGCTTAAGCCAAGGATATTTTTTCCAAAAGTAAACACCAACCCATTTAATTGCTGTGACATATTCCCCTGGCTCACCTGACCTCCTAGCCACCTCCTCTGGCCTGGCCGGACGGCCTAGTGGCCGGAAAATGTCCAAACCGAGAGCCATCCCCATGGAATCAAACTCAATTCAAACTTAGAGGCCACTTCATCTAAATTAAATGTTAGAGCCTCGCTGCCCTCTACCTAAGCATCACTTTTCACCCCCTAATTGGCCATGACAGCCACTCTTAAGCCATTTTTTATAAAAGTTCACCTCCACAGCCATGGGAGGTGTGCTAAAAATTTCTCAGAGAGACCCCTCCAAATTACTCCTAAAGCTTCTTTGAGACCTCCTCAGTTCAACCTAACCACCACATTTGATTGAGGTCACTTGTATTAAAACCAATCCAAATGGTTGGGGCCCAAATACACAACATTAGTTCATCTAAATAAAATAAAAAAAAATTTATGGGATTGTGATGGTGAAGTCGGTTTTGATTGAGGTGACTTGTATCTCAAGATATTTCAATTCAGAGTTCAAAGGTGATTATGGATGATTATGTGGAAAAAATTGACTTTAGCTAAATTGGCTTAGAAAAATATAGAGAACATAATTGTATGTTCATTTTGGTCAAGATGGGACCTATTTCAAAGAATTTGAAGCCAAAGTGTGGGCCCACCCAATGAGAGAAAATTTTGTTGGGTTTTATCAAAACTTTTTATAGAATTATAATTAATTGGATTTAGTGTTTTTTATCTTAAATTACATTGACTAAGGTTTGGTTCTAATTTGAGTCAAGTTTGACTCGATTATCAAGATTATTTTTTTTATTATCAAAATTATTATCCAAATTATCATTGTCTTGATGGACTCCCAAACAATGTTTGATTTGTGCATGGAATGGCTCATTTGAAAGGTTTCAATGATCAGGATGCTCTTGTGTAGTGTGTTTTAAAAAATAATGCTTATCATTTCCATGCATGAAAACTCAAAAAAAAAAAAAATATTACATAAAAAATGCCCTATAATAGTCAAAATGGTTTGCATATTTTTTAAATATGATAATGAACATCATGCAACTTCTAGAATGAAATTTTATGCTCAAAGATCTATGAAAACAATTGAAATATTGGTGTGTATTTTAGTCTAAGCTGATTTTTAATTCAATTTTAAAGTTTAGTTGAAGCGAGTTATATTTGGTTCCATTTTAGTTTAGTAATTTTAACTTTGGTTTAGTTATATTTAGTTTTTACTTAAATTACGTTTGGATCAAATTTTAGTTAAAGTAGGATTCAAGTTATAACTTTTTTGAATTCAATTAAGCTATCTAGTGATAGTATGAGGGAGGTCTTATGTCCTAATGAGATTTGATACAAGTCAAGGAAAAATGATTGAACAAAAAGTGAGGTTAATACTTGTCATTTTACTTCACCCATTCTACAAAACTCATCAGGAGCCTGTATTTTGTTGATCGTCGAAGACTCCAAATACTATTAAATGTTCAAAATCTTTTGTTCAATCTTACCAGACTCCCTTTGTACTACAGGCGACAACTTCCCCTTAATTTTTTGGAGGGGAATGTCGAATTGAGTTGTTGGGACTGGCAAGCCACTCTCTGTAAAAGGAAAGCATGACTTTGACTCCCAAATCTTCACCTTATTCTTGAAATGACGAAAGTGGAACCAACAAGCAAATGAAAATAGAACATATTGTCCGGGGTACAACAAAAAATAAAATTAGTACTTGCGGAGTTTGACCAACTAGATACTCTCTTTGTGATAGTAGATTTAGGCATCACCTGTATAAGGATGTCTTCATAGTAGCTAAAGATGGTTCTTATTTCTTCGCATAATAGAAGTCGACAAACAAGTCAAAGTTGATCCCAATAAATCACCATTTAATTATTCCAAAAGAAATTCACCCTTTAAAAAAGAGCGACGATTCAGAGTCATGTGGTAGGATCATGGGTGTAGCTCAACCAGTACACCAATGCTTTGGCTTGGGACATTTTAAATGACATTGAAAGAGGGGACATCATGAAGTCACGAGAGGAATAGTAGTCTACAATGCAAGGAGCCACTTTTTTTTGACACGAACAAAATTTTTAAATAACAAAAGTTATGAAGGAAAAGAAAGTTTCTCGACTACCACTAGCCCTAATTTTTATAGAAATGGGTAAATCCCACTCAACACAATGAAAAACTCGAGGAGATCACCTAGGAATACATAAATGAAAAAAGTTTAGTTTGAACATCGAGAAAAATAACATTTCACGTAAAAACATTATTAACACTCATTGCAAATCTCTGACTCTGCACAGAGGAAGAAGGAAGCTTATACATGGATCTGAAGCCGCCTCAACCGAGACATGCCCCAACCAAACTAGCATGCATAACATAAACTAAACATCTAACCTAAACTGTCTTAACTTATCAAACACAAGCTGAGCCTAAAAGGTCCTAAACAACTTTCACGAGCTCGTGAGCAAGCTCTTGTTGAAAAATAAATAATACTTGCTTGACTATGAAAATCTCCTCGTTCGGCTGTACCGCACTGGCTGAAAAGATGTGCTGCTCCAAGCTCCGCTGAAAATCAAAATCACAAGTGAAAGAGCTCTCAATCTCAACCAGGCGACAAGCCAACTCTTTGTTATCCATCTGGGTCAATCATCTCTCTCTCTCTCTCTCATGTCTGTACAAGAAATAAGAGATCCTCGAGTCGGTCAACCACATCACTTTCATCGTTTAGCTGGCACATTTCCTCTGCCACTGGCTTCTTGGCCTCGACCGATGTTGTGAGAACGTCATCTAATCCTGGCTCAATCTTGTCAACTATCATATCAAAAATAATAAACGCAGCCAGAAGACAACAACTAGAAACTATTCTGATCGAGTGCAAAAATTTACCCAGCCTCAGATACCGTCAGCTCCTCAGGATGAAGTCACTTTGGCAATGGGGGATCGATGAGCACTGAGAAGGCTTGACCCCCTTCCATACTAAGGGTCATTGTCAGGACTGCTGGTGAAGCCATGTCGAGCGACTGCACAATTGCAACCGACTAATAGGTACCCAAGGCTATAAATGGAACACTTCTCAGAACCACGCCAGAAGGGCAACATGTCTAGAAGGGGAGCTCCGCCTCTTCTTCCCCATGTGTTTCCTCTTTCAATCAATTTCAAAACGTCTCTTACTCTTCTCCTCGACAAACATGCTATGAACAAAAATTTCACTCGCGATGGCGGCTTGGGACTCTAAACGCTTATCCATCGCAAGGACACTTCTTTTCGATGAAGGAGACCAAGATACCAAGGAAAAAAAAAACACGAAGAGAAGACAATTAATAGATAAAATTGAAAAGATGATCTTGTATTTATAAGCAGCCACAGACACGTACATAAAGAAAGTTTTGAATGATAAAATTATTTAAATAAAATAAACTTTTGCTAAACTTAATAGCAATGTTTTGATAAAGCTTGTAGCCTACTAATACACGGTAAAAACTGAGAACTAAAATTTATATGAACAAAGTATGTTGAATGGAATCAAGCAACCCTAAGTCAAGACACATGTTGAAGGATCATTTCGGGCTAGTCCAAAGAGCTGTCAATCGGCACGGTGTAGACTATCCTTCAACTAAATCAAATGGATCGACTGATCGAGTAAACAGACGAACGACTCGCTGAACCTATGAGTGATTGAAATAGAGATCCAACAAGTAGTGATTCGGTCATAGCAACAATTATCTTGACAATCACGATGACCTACTAAAGTAAATAATTTCAAAGGACATTTAGGGAGAAACATAGCAATATATTACAGATATATGTGATATGAAAGGTTTGGGTGACATAAATGTAAAAAATATATATATAATTTAGGAGTTTAAAATGTGAATTCATAGGAGTAAATACCCCTATAAATTTTGTCATTATGCATATTTAAATTTAGGTGTTATGGCATTTAAAAAAAAGGTGTTAGATATGTAAATGTATAAGAACTGTATAATATACATGTAAATGCCTTTTAAAAAAAATCTCACCCATGGTAAAAGAATAACCCGCCAGATTTAACCATCACAGGTATGGCTGTCAAAAAAGCTCGTTGTTCGCGAACAACTCGTGTTCGGCTCATTAAGTAGCTCATGTTCGGCTCGTTCGTTTAACGAATGAGCCGAACACAAACAAAGTTGTAAAGCTTGAATTATAAACGAGCCGAACACGAACAGCTCTTTGTTCGCTCGTGTTCGACTCGTTTTAGCTTGAAATAAAAAAAATTATATAACTATTTATATAACACGAACACGAACACGAACACGAACACGAACACGAACACGAACACGAACACGAACACGAACACGAACACGAACACGAACACGAACACGAACACGAACACGAACACGAACACGAACACGAACACGAACACCTTTTGTATATATTTAATCCAATTTCGAATTCCACATTTTACAACTATTTTTCTCAATTTAAGTTTAAATTGAACCAAACACGAACACACTATTTACGAGCCGATTTCGAACACGAGCTATTTCGAACGAGCCGAACACAAGCCAAGCCTGAGCTCGCTCAAGCTCGACTCGTTTACAGCCCTAATCACAGATGGGCAGGCAAAATGCTTACAATTATTAAGAAATTATTGATTTGGTTCACCGTTAATTGTAGCAATCATCAAATCTAAACATATGGAGACAGAAGGCAGAATCTCCCACGTCAGCCAATCTGGCTAGCCAATCTTTCAATTTTCAAATAAAGCATTCAAATTCGAATGCCATCTTGGGGCAACGGTCGGATCTCGGATTCCCGATAAGCCCAACCGTCCGATCTATAATCCCACAATCATTACTGTGCAACTTCTTAAAAGGAATTCCCTTTTTGAATCCGAGAGATCCGTGCTCATTCTCGAGTAAGAACAGAGCTCCATCGCTCGAAGGAGAAGGTTCCTCTCTCTCTCTCTATCTTCCTCTGTGCATACTGTGCAAGAGCTGAGCTTCATTTTTCCTTGCTTTCCTTCTTATAATGTCGTCTCCTTTTTCTCTTTTTTCTAAAGCAAAGTAGAAAGGAAAGGAATCATTACCAAGCTTTTGAAAGCCAAGGAAAGCAGATCAGCGGAGGTGTTCTGAGAACTTTCTTCTGACGATTGGCTTTCTTACAATCACTTTTAGAGACGAAGCAGCCGGCTTCCGGCCGCCATCTGCCGGAGCTTTTGAGAGACTGACTAATTTACCCACACTCCCCGGTTCATTTTCAAAATACACCGAGCCAGACAAGGGGCACTTTCGTCCACGTATTTCAATACTTCTGTGGAGTCTCAAACGGTAATTTTGATTTTTGAATTCTATAAATTGTTTTTATATTATTTTTATTCAAAATAAGAATTAAAAAATACTTTTATTATGAGATATCTTAAATATATAGATAATTAATTTAAGCTTTAAAAAATAGTCAAGTTATTATGAGATATCTTAAATATATAGATAATTAATAAAGGATTACATTCTGATCGTTATAAATTTATTAAAGTGATTTTAAAGCTACATTTTTCATGAAACATTTTAATCCTTGGCCACACCTGCACCCGAACCAACCCAATTAGGCTCCGCCGACTCTTTTACGCCATTGATGGGTAGCGATGGAGCTAAGTGGAACTTTGCCGTAAGCCATTTCTAAAATATTAATAAGCAGTTTTCCACTTTCGCTAAGTCTCGTCTTCTTCTCGCTTCCGTCGCTTTCGATGCTATTTACTTATTCGCCGGAGAAGCTGGTGGCCGCCAACCAGCTCCGCGCTTTTCTGCTTTCTTTACTCTTAATTCAATCGTCAATTTCAATCTCACCAGAAGATCTCAAAAAGCTGTTTTTTTTTTTTTATTTCCCCCTCAAAAAGCTTTAATCTTTATCTGTCTCTGGCCTTCCGCCGACTGCTGCAGCCGTCTCCATGGTGGAAGACCAGGTCGAACTATCCGCCGAGCACTGGCTTGCTCGCGCCAACTTCCTTCTCCCTTCTGCCCTCTCAAAGTCGCAGTCCGCCACCTCCAGCAGCGTGCGGGGCTTCGCCAGCCGCTGGAAATCCGTTTCTACTAAACTAGACCTCATCCCGGGATGCCTCTCCGACCTTTCAAGCCACCCGTTTTTCGCAAAGAACGCTCTTTGCGTCGAGCAGCTTCAGTCTGTAGCTGCGACCCTAGCCGAAGTCATTGAATTGGCCGACCGAGCTTCTGGAGTTAACCCATCGGTCGGAAAGCTCCAGATGCAGAGCGACCTTGATGTTCTGTCCGGTAAGCTTGAGCTCAATCTCCGCGATTGCCGACTTCTCATCAAATCGGGAGTTCTCGGTGAAGCCGCCGTCCCCCTGTGCCCCGACGGCGCTTCCCCCGAATCAAAGATCAGGGAATTGCTAGCAAGATTACAAATTGGGGACGCAGAAGCGAAGAACCGCGCTGTTGATGGGTTGCTTGAGGTGATGCGGGAGGATGAGAAAACTGTGGTGGCCGCTTTAGGTCGTAGCAGCATCGCAGCACTAGTTCAGCTTCTTTCCTCCACATCATTAAAGATCAGGGAGAAGGCCGCCACAGTAGTCAGTTTTCTTGCGGAATCTGGAAATTGCGACGGTTTGCTTGTCTCTGAAGCTGTCCTGCCACCGTTGATAAGAGTTGTGGAATCCGGTAGCCTTGTGGGAAGGGAGAAGGCGGTAATATCCTTGCAGAGGCTATCTATGTCTGTAGATACGGCTAGAGCCATAGCTGGTGATGGGGGTATACAGCCTTTGATTGAGGTGTGCCAGAATGGGGATTCATTTACACAACTGGCCGCTGCCGGCACCATAAAGAACCTCTCTGCGGTGGTGGAATTGCGACAGAGTCTCATTGATGAAGGAGCTATCAGAGTCATGATCAATATTCTCAACTGTGGTGCTGTTTTGGGTGCAAAGGAGTATGCAGCTGAGTGCTTGCAGAACTTGTCTTCTGGTTGCAATAGCCTGAGAAAGTCAATTGTGTCTGAGGGTGGAATTCAAAGCCTGTTGGACTATATTGATGGTCCGCTTCCACAGGAATCAGCGGTTTCTGCTCTGAGAAATCTTTTGGCTTCAGTCTCAACGGATAGTCTGCCCTCTCTTGGACTTCTGCCAAGGCTAATTCATGTACTGAAGGATGGATCTTTTGGTGCGCAGCAGGCTGCAGCATCTGCAATATGTAGGATATCTGATTCCGTTGAAATGAAAAGAATGATTTGGGAGTATGGATGTGTTACACTTCTTATAAAGTTGTTGGAGGCCAAGTCCAATGGAGTGAGGGAGGTTGCCGCGCAGGCAATTGCTACATTGATGAGCTATCGGCCAATTTGTCAAGATGTGAAGAAGAATGAGAAGAGTGTACCAAGCTTGGTTCAGCTGCTTGACCCCAGTCCAGTGAATACTTCGAAGAAGTATGCGGTATCCTGCCTCTTGACATTGTCTTCCAGCACGAAGTCGAAGAAGATAATGATTTCTCATGGTGCAATTGGGTACCTGAAGAAGCTTAAAGTGCTGGATGTGCCCGGATCAAAGAAGCTTTTGGAGAGACTAGAAAAGGGGATGCTGAGAAACTTTTTTAGCAAGAAATAGGAAAAGCTTTTTAACCTGCTGCTGTATGATTTCAATGTTGAAATTCTTAGGCCTCCATAGTTTCACTTCCTCTGTGAAACATTAATGGATGCTGAGAGCTGTGTTCTGATCCTTGTCCTTGTATGCTTAGTGTATAATTGGCCTGATAAATAACTTAACGCATGTACCTCTTCTTTTAGTGTAAATCTCTGAACTTCTTTGCCACTGTTCTCATTTCTTAATTTCATTTTTTTCACCAACTTCAGCTCTTTAACTGATCTTGTTGCTTGCTTTTCTTTCCTTGAGTTTATGCTTCAATTGTACGAGGAAGAGAAAAAAACTTAAATTTTGATGCTGGCACTTGGTTTTCGTAGCATTTCAGTACTAATGTGAAAAGATTTTAACAGTCTTGTTTTCTGATTGGGTCAGTTTTTGTGAGAGAAATCCAGACTAACTTTAGTATGCGAAGGAAGAACTCTCAAAGGAAACTCGTTGAGTATGTAAGTGTGCAATATTCAATGAATAGTTTCTGAAAATTTTAGGCTTGCTTTTGTTATAAGCCTGACTTAGCACAAAGTGCTTGCTGATTTCCCATTCAGGGTAATCATAACTACTCTTCTAAACAAAGTGCTTGCTGATTTCCCATTCAGGGTAATCATAACTACTTGTCTAACACTCAAGTACTTCAACATAGTACCATCTTATCCTGCCACGATCCTCCTTCATGACCTAAGATGCCTAATTACCAATCCCCCACCCATCCTACCTATACGTGGCAGGAGCAGAAGTAGAAGACCTATTGGTCTTCGTCATATATGCTTTAGAAAACAATCTCCTATCCTACCTCCTAACCCCACTCCAGTCCTAAAAAATCCTGCCCCTCCCCGTCAAATCAAAAAATACTTATCCCCTACCCGAGATCCACATATAGCTTCATGACCGAACTCCTCCTCCTTCTCCTTAGATCAACAATTTCCTTAGATCAACAATTTCCTCATCCCACGTGAGCCTCTCCCTAATTCTTCACTTAGGGTCTGTTTGGGGCAGCTACAGATAATTGATAATCTGTTGATGAACAACTGATCCAGATGAGCTGCTGATCCAGATGAACTGCTGATGAGCAGCTTATCCCGTTGTTTACGATAAGCTGCAGATGAGCTTCTGATGAGCAGCTTAACCCTAAACAATCCCGATAAGCTGGTTGTTTGTTTGGTTTGTGCGTTTGAAAACAACTGATTTGCAGTTGTTTTTGGATAAATGATCATTATGCCCCTTTGCAGTAACGCTGTTTACGACAAAACTATCATAACTATAATAAATCTGCTAATATTTGTTACCATTTTTTTAGCGCAATTATAATTTGTTAATTTTGACATGATATTATTTCAAATGCTTTAATAAATCTGTTATTTTTTATGAAAAATCTTTTTGGATGTGTATTTCAATGTTATTAGTTTACCACTAAAGGAATTTGCATACTAGAAATTTTATCCTGGATAAATACTATATAGTAAATTAAATTAACTTATTATCTTAGATGAATACTACGTAGTAAATTAAATTATTTGTTTGATTACTAATTTTTGAAATTTATATCATCATTTTATTGTTCAAAAAATGAAATATATCTTAGAATGCATAAATAAAGTGGTAGGTATGTAAAAATTAAAATGTTGGTGTTAAATATGTAAATATATAAAAATTGAGTGTTATGTATGCAAATCTTCCAAGAAAATTTTTAGCACAATTATCAAAATAATAAACAATTATCATATAATTTTTTAATTGAAAGTAATCATTTTTTGCATAAAATTAATTTTCCATTAATACTACCACTAAACAACATGAATAACATCGGCTATGGCAAAAGGCATGAATAACACTGCATAACTTACTAATAACACCAAAAACCCACGCGAATAACATCACAATAATATCTGAATACTACCACAAATAACACCGCAAAACAATACGAATCAACAACTGGCAATGATGTGAATAATACAGTGAATAACACCTTGAATAATACAGTGTATAACACAGAGAATCAACGGCTGACATAAGCCGCGAATAATACTGCGAATAACACCGGACGTGCGACTGCTGGGAGGACAGAGCCTTAAACAATTTTCTCCGAACGCGAGACCTAGGGGGTCGAACCCTCGGGCATCGTGTAATACAAATGGAAACTAACTTGTCCCGCAACGCAGCGAAGAAGGAGAAAACAAACACCGAAGTCGATGTCTTGAAAACGCCCAACAATTGTTTCGCTGTGCCAAACATGCCCGTAGTGTCTCTCTATCCGAAGCCCCAAACTCAAAAATTTTTCCTCCTCTACCTTCAAACAACCTGTCTATCTTTGACACCACCCCTTCTTCTAATCCTAAATAAGCAAGCCTAAAGCACCTTCAAACAACCTGTCTATCTTTGACGCCACCCCTTCTTCTAATCCTAAATAAGATTGACGCTACCCCTTCTTCTAATCCTAAATAAGCAAGCCTAAAGAAGGTGGGGCACCTCAAACCTAATATTTCTCTACGTTTTTTTTTCCAAAAACTTGTGGTTTGTAAAGTGAGGGGTTACAATGGTAATACTAGGATTACTTATTATGAGAATGTTACAATAGATCAAGACCTTGACCTTTATAGTAATTCAGTCATATGGTAGATGATAAATCAACATATTTGAGGGTTGCTTCTAAAAAAATAACTTTATAAATTAACATCCACATAGCATTCTACTTAGATTAACTTCATCATTTATGGAGCTAATAAATATCAATGATAGATAACATTATATTATAGTTTAGGTTTTTTAAATATAGGTTCAGCCTAAAGGCTAAATCTAAGAAATATTGAAATTGAGTTTAAATTTATCAAGCCAATTTGGTTAACTAAAACTAAGAAATAATGCATTTGGGTTATGACATCATGGAACTCATTAGAAGGATAAATTAGAGATATTTGATTTGAATTGGTATTTTCTTTTAGTTTCTAAGAAGACGACTTTAATTATCATATGAGTTTGACATCTGTATTTAAGTTCATTTTTCAATTTGATCTAAAAATTAGCATCTCAATTTATTAATTTATGATGATTTGAGATCATTACCATAGTCATGGGGTTGTCCCTTCCCATTATATCTTTTATTTTATATTACTTATACCATATAGTTTTGTATTTTCATAATCTTAACCCATTGAAAAGAATTATACATATTTTAGGGGCACTTGAAGGGTGAATCCATCCATGCAAGTTAGTTGAATATGATGGTAGAAAATTAATCATCATATCCCTGAGTTGTCCGAGATATCAAAATGATTTCAACTCCATGAATATAAAAAATTGAAGTTATTATATGAAGTGCAAGAAAAAGGTGAATGGCTTTGTTTAGCCTCAACATCAACATCATTCAATCAATCAATCAACTTAGACATATGTTTTCAAACAAATTACTTATTCATGAAAAAAAAAACACAGAAAAAACAAATTTTGTTGTTGAAGTTTACTAGCAATTAATAGAGAAAAGCATTAATAATATATTATTATGCAATAGTATCAAAATGCATCACCAAAACACATCACATTAAATCCTGAAAAATTGGTACAACCCATAATATTTTGTAGCAAATAAAATTGCACTACCAAAGCACTTAACACTTGAATTATGCACGATTGGTGCATTCCATAAAACTCTAACTTGAAACTTATTTTCTCTGGAGCTCAATTGATGATTTCCCAGGTAAGCTAGTTCAAGCTTGGGCATGCAAAATATAGTACCAAGAAGAAGCCTCATCATCAAAGAAATCTACATTTGAAGAACTAAGCTTTGGTTGAATATTGTTTGAGCCTAGATAGCCAGTGAACCTCCACATTGACATAAAAGAATGGTGTTTGTCCACACAGTTAACTTGTTTGGCTAGTGGGAAGGAGACCTCCATGTATCGCTGCCGATGAGTGTCGAGGTTGTTGCGGTTGAGAAGGTACATATAAAAATATGTCAACATATATATCAAAACAGATGAATGGCTCAGGAAACGGATGTGGACGATCGAGCATAACCTTAGACGATTGTTTTTGGATGAATATTAGCGAATGAAGCACATTGACTGAACGATCGACAAAACACGCAAGGAGAAACTCTCGCAGGGCGATAATCAGCCTTCGGGACGATCGACGGGGAGCTCTCTTTCAAACTATATATCGATCAAATCAATGCTTGTCAGGTGATCAACAATCCTCATCAATCGAATCTGTCCTCAATCTTAGTATATGCAAATAACTCTATAATTACCAAAAAGAACCCCCCTTTAAACGTTAAAAATAAGGGGGCTAAAATGTACTTTTGTAATATTGGGAGCTAGGTCTATAAATAAGAGTTTAAATCATGAATAAGACACTCTTTTTTCTGTCTACTGCTGCTGCTGCTCTCTCTCTCTCTCTTATATTCACTTCCTAGCAGGGCAAGTTATTTGGAATGTTCCATTCCTTGGGTGTGTTTCCTAGATACTTTTGTATTCAAGAGGTATAAGTTTTATTAACCTCATTTATGGTTGATTGACCTTTCATATCAAGGTTAATGTTGGTCAACCTATTTTGTATTCTTTTCTCTTAACACTATTTAATTTTTTATTCACCAATATTTTAGAAGATATTCTATTGTCTAATAAAAAAATGAATCTTTATACTCTATTTAGTCATCACCAAAAAATTATTAAGTTCTTATGATAGTTTTTATCCACACACTCTTCCCTTACCATTGTTATAGTACACTAGAGTTTGCAACTCACCCTATAACATTGAAGATGGGTTATCAACTTATAAAGATGTCATAGGAGATAACAAGTACTTGTTAGTATACATTTCCATATATTAAATTAGTTGAAGGGACCAAAACTGGTATAGCGTGAATTAATGATAATTTTAATTTGTATTAAGTTTATTATAAACAAATTAGTTAAGTCGTTTTTACATTAATGATAATTTTAAATTTTTTAATTATTTATTACATTAATTAATATTAAATTAATCAAAAAAATATAATTGTATTTAATTAATATTAAATTAATCAAAAAAATATAATTGAACAAAAAAATTAACTAGGAATTCTTAAAATTTATTTCACATGAAAATATTCTCCTAACATCATATTTACAAAAAAAAAATACTATCTCTACGTTGTGTGGAATGACGCTTGAGCCCAATATATATCATAACAGTGGTCGTAGTGATCGACGTTGCAACTGAGGTTCTTGAAATTCCTCTTCATGGATT